ATACTTAGCATAGTAATTATCTTAATTATGTATATATGTAATACGTAATTATGGTAATTAATTACAATTATTTTAAAAAAACATAATTGCCAAATTAATTATGGGGGTGATAATTAATTATAGGAACATAATTAATTATGGGTGTGATAATTAATTACAGGAAACGTAATTAATTACAGGATAGTAATTAATACTTATAGATGTAATTAATTACGGGATGGTAATTAATTACAGAAGTCATAATTACAGAGAAATTAATTAACTACGAGGAATATAAATAACAAAAAATTTTTTTAATATATAAGTGTATAAAAAAAATTCTGTAGCATTGTTAACAACTATATTTTATTTTTTATTGGACAGAATAGCAAATAAAAAAAATTTAAAATAGATAATATTGTCTAAAATATAAAAAATCAATCATAAAAAATTAAAATTTAACAATAAGATACATTTTAAATGCTAAAATTACTTTAAAAAAGCATTTCGCAATATAGTTCTATTATGAAAAATGTAAATAACTCCACAATTATTATACTTAGCTTCGTAAAAATTATGATGCAAGTATTTTCGGACCCGTTAAACAACTTTACTTAAGAACAATTTGGGTATTTCCTTTGACCAAAGTCCTCAAAATATGCTCTGAATTTACAGTACGAAAAATTAGAATTCATAAGTTAGTATAGTTATGAAAAATGTAAATAACTCTATGAATATTAATCATACTTTCAATAGACTATTTAATAAAGTTTTTTTAAATGTGTTTATTTTCAGGGAAACTAAATTTAGTTTTGCTTTTATTTTATAAGATATTTTAAAAAGTACTTTAGTAAAATTTTGTAAAAGAAAAGACAAGAAAAAAATAATATTCATAATAAACACAAATAAAATAACTTTAAATTGATCATCACTAAAATTTAACATTTATGTCATTTATGTATAATATGGTAAGCAGGATATTATTCATACATACATATATAATTCAAAATTTTTTTGAACTTCATACATATATAGAATAATTCATACTATACATTTCCTATATTACATACAAAGCTAACCATACACTACATGATTGCTATATATCTCATAGAGGATTCACCATAATAATGAATTCTCTTAGAGTATCATTATTTTTAATAGATTCCTATAGAGAATCAGCAAAATAATGAATTCTCTTAAAGAATCATTATTTTTGACAGGTTCTCATAGTGGATCCAACAAAATAATGAATCCTTATCAAATTTGATAGATTTTTATAGAATTCTGAAGATAAGTGATTAGATTTCTATCGGTGATGAGTAAGTGAATTTTTTCTTTCTTTTCTTTCTTGTAGTTATTTTTTTGGGTTTCTTTTTTCTTTAAATTCCAAGGTATTTTTAGTTTCAAAGAATGGGAGAAAGTTATTTTATTTTATTTTTTTAGAATCAATCTTTTTTCTCTTTTGGATCTTAAGGTAATATTTGAGAGTTTTTTTTTCTTTTTTAATTTTTTAATTTTTTAATATCAATTTTTTTTTAGGATTGAACTTTTTCTTCAGATTCTAAGTTAATATTTTGGTTTGAATTTCTTTTAAAGGATGATAGAATGTTTTTTTTTTTAAAAATTTTTAATTTTTTAATTTTTTTTTTTAGTATCTATCTCTTTCTCTCTTCTCTTTGGATCTTTCTGGATTTTTTTTTTATAAATTTATTATTTTTTTCTTTTTTAATTTTTAATTTTAATTTTTTTTTTTTAGGATTAAACTTTCTCTTCAAATTTAATTAATATTTGAATTTGGTATTTCTTTTTAAAGGTTATAGATTTTTTTTTTTAATTTTTTTTAATTTTTAATTTATTTTAGGATTGATTTTTTATTGGATTTTAAGGTAAATTGTGATTTTTTTTTCTTATAACATACTTAATTTAAATTTGTTTTATTTTTTGTTTTTGTATTTTTATTTGTTAATACAAAGTAAGATAAAACTTTATTATTTATTTTTTTTTTTAAAATAAAGTGAGATAAATATTTGTTTTATTTCTTATAATATAAAAGTGAGATAAAACTTTGTTATTTAAATTTTTTCTTTTTTACAAAATGAGATAAAAATTGTTTTTTTATTTATATATAATTCTAATCAGATGTTATAAATACAAATATGATATTAGAATTAAATTGATTTTTTCTTTTTTAAGTAATCATAATAATGTTGATTTAATATTTATTGTTAAACGTAATTATCAATTATTTATTAGTTAATTTAATTATAAACTAATTACCAAATATCACATCCTAAATTACAATTATAAAAAAAATTTATTTCTGAAACTTTTTTATTTCTTTTATTTATTTTTTTTTTCTCACAATTATATACATTAGTATAACAAAAATAGTAAGTTAAATAATGTTTATTTTTATTTTTATTATTATTAATCAATTTTAATTTATTCAAAATATATAGTTCTTATATAGTTTTGAGATCAGATTATTTTTCTAATACAGGTTTTATTTCTATATATATAAATATAATTCAGTAAGATAAAACTGATTTTGTATTTATATTTCTTTTTTTAATATAATTTATAGTAATATATTTTGTATTAATTTATTATATTTTTTTTAAAATTAAAATTTATCATAACCAAATTAGTTTATGATCAGCAATAATTAGATTTAAACAATGGAAAACATTGAAAAACAAAGGAAAATCAAGTATAGATCAGGTAAAACTGAGTTTTAAACTGTAATTATCTAATCAAATTAAATTTTAAAATTTTACGTTAAATTATTATTTTATATTTTATTTGATCAGTTTTTACTAAGTTTAAATGAATTTCAAATTTTAATTAGAGTAATACAAAATTTTCTTTGATTAAATTAATCATCTCTCCTTTTTTTCAAAACTTTTCTCTTTCTCAAAATTTTCTTTTAATATTTTTATATTAATATAAACCTATTATTTTTTATCGAAAACAAATATAAACATTAATAAATAATGAACTGGTCATCCTAAAGCTGATGTTTGGGAATATTTTGAAGAAAAAGGAAAAAGAGTAAAAAGTCACTGTGGTGGAGTATATAAGTTTTGTGATTGAAAGTAACAAATAGCATAGTCTAATGATATGAGAATACATATAGCTCTCTATTGTAAAAAGGTTTCTTATGAAACAAAAAGTTATTATTTAAAAATTATAAAAGCTAATACAATTAAAACTAAAAAACAAAAGATTGATCACCATCAACCAAAAATTCATAAAAAATTTGAGTCAACAAAAATTGATAATTTTAAAGTAAATATAGCAAATCGTGCTATTATAAAATTTTTTGCCTGTTGTGACATTCTTTTTCATATTATCAAAAATCCTTTTTTTGTTGATCTCTTATGTATATTGTGTTTAGGTTACTTTCCTCCTAGTAAAAATACACTTTTAATGACTATGCTTAATATAGAATTGGCATTTGTAACTAGTGAAACTAATGAAATGTTAAAAAATTAGATGAATCTTACTTTAGATAATAATTTTATTGATATTTATTAATTGTTATAAATATTACTAATAAATATAAATTCTATTTAGGTCTAGATAAATGGACAAGTCCATCTGGTCAATCTCTTTACGTCTTTCTTATTATTACAAAAGAAAGAAAAAAAATTGTACATTCTATTCAAAATTTATTGAAAGAATCTCATACTGCTATATTTCTTTCAGAAAAATAATTAAAGTTATCAAAGATGTAGGATATGAAAAATTCTATCAGATAATGCAAAAACTATGATTTCTGCAAAAAATTAGTCCATAAAGAATATGAAGCTATAATTCCCGTTCAATGTATTTCTCATCACATTAATCTGATTACTACAGATATTTGTAAATTAGAATTTGCAGATTTACTTTTGAAGAAATATATGAAATTGGTCTGATATTTTAAAACTTCTCATCAAGCTAGATATTATTTATAATAAGAAATTATAGAAAATAATATTCAAGGTGGTGGTCTAAAATCATATTGTAAAACAAGGTGAACAACAGCTTGGGATTACACATTTTCTGTTCTTAAATGTGAAGACATTTTAAAAAAGGTCAATATTGTAATATTTATCAATTTTTTTTATTTTAATTAATTAAATTTATTAAATTAGATTGTAGATGAGAATCCAGAATATATTAAAGAAGATATTAAAACTATTATCACAAGACGATTTTTTTTTAATCTTGAAGAATTGGAAAAACTATTAAAGCCAATAAAAGAAGCTGTAAAGTGTTTGGAAATGAAATCAACAACATTAGCAGATTGTTTTTGTCAGTTAATTAAATTATCAATTTCAATTAAAACTTACCTGAATCAACATCATCTTTTCGCCAAAATTGTATTATTACCTTTAATAAAAGGTAGAAATAATTTGATTTAACTTATATATGTTAGCTTATCTTCTTCACCCACAATATCGTAGTATGTATTTATATATTTTTGTATTAATTTAAATATTAAGTAAATTAGTTATTTATTTTATTTTTGTTTAATTTAATAGGAAAAGGATTCCAATAATCTGTATTTCATTATAAAATCCATTGGACTATTAAAAATATTTGGTTAAAAATGAAAGTAGGTGGATCAAATACAAGTGCAAAGTTAATTGCATAATTAGCTGCTTATTGTGAAAGAAGGTCACCATATGATGATGATTTTATATCTGATTATTACTTAATTGAAAGTTAGTAGAAATTAATAAAATAAGATGAAAATTATATACAACAGCTTGCTATAAAAATATTATCAATAATTCTAACAAATGCTGGTTGTGTTGTAAAAGAGTGTTTTCAATTCTTGGATGGAATATGAATAAAAGAAGAACAAGATAATATTTATTTTAATTTTTATAATTATAAAAATTATAAAATATATCTAATGCTAAATAATTTTAGGTTAAGTGTGAAAAAATTGCAAGGTATTGCTAAACTTCACACTTATTATGTCTCAAATGTTAAAAAAGAATTGAAATTTGCAGCTCAAAATTTAAGTGATGATGATTTATACCGCTATGCAAGATATACTTTCAGATGAATTTAAATTGGATGAAATTGATGAAGAAGATGATATTAAAATAGATGAAGAAGATATTGTTGATACAGAAAATGATAGTCAATTTGATTTTAAAAATAATGAAATACAAATTGAAAATTTTATAAATTTAAGAGATAAAGAATTAGCTAAATTATTAAAAACACAGGAGATTCGAGTAGTTATTGAACCAATAATTATTGATTATGATAAAAAAGAATTTGATTTAAATAGTTTATTAGATCAAAACCTTGGTAATTAAATATCTATTTTTATAATTGTTATTTACAGTATTAGTATAATCAAAAACCTTTCGTATTTTATAATAGAATATATGATTATTATAATATTAATATTTCACCTATAATGTTTTTTCCGTCTTATTATTTTTCATTATTTTTTAGTTTTTTTTAAAAAATAATAAAAATATTTACAATGATAAATTTTATCAAATAATTAATGATAATTTCATAATTAATTATGTTTATAATACATAATTTCATCATATATAATTAGTTACAACTTGAATAATTTCATTATGTATTATTAATTACATCTTCATAATTACTTACATATACAATGAATAATTTTATTATATATAATTAGTTACAACTTCATAATTACTTACGTGTATAATGAATAATTTCGTTATATATAATAAGTTACAACTTCGTAATTACTTATGTATACAATGAATAATTTCATTATGTATAATTAATTATAACTTCATAATTAATTATTACTCCCGTGTAATTAATTTTACTTGTAATTAATTACATTACCTGTAATTAATTCTATAATTATATTTCATATTACATCTTTTAAATTTCATATTACGTTTTTAGTAAAACAATTACCATGATATGTATAGTAGTGATGTATTTTAATTCAAATTAAAAAGTTTTTTACTAGCATAAACAATGGGGTATTCATAGTCTTGTTCATCTTTTTGGGTGAATATGACTCTAAGACCTTTGTCTAACGCATCAGTTTGTAAAATAAACTTATTTTTCAGATTTGGTTGAGCAAGTACTGGGGTAGAGATTATTTTTTCTTTTAGAGTATTGAAAGAATCTTGATGTTTAAAAGTCTAAGACCAAACAGTATTCTTTTTAGTAAGGTCATGTAATTCATGTAATGATCTAGCAATTTTTGCAAAATCTTAAATAAACGTCGATAAAAAGAGAAAAATTCTATTGCTATATGTACTTCTTTAGGATTCTTTAGAATAGGTAAATCGATCATTACTTATATATTTTTTTGATATGGTTTGATTCAATTACTTCCTATGATATCTCTTAGAAGACTTACTTCATTTACAGTAAATATACATTTACTTGGCTTGATTTTTAATCCTATTTCTTTAAATCTATTAAAAACTTATTGAATATATGTATAATAATCTTAAAATAAAATAAAATAGATAATAATATTATTAAAATAAATAACACAGAACTTTCTAATTAATCAATGTAAAACCTAATTCATTAGACATTAGAAGGTTACAGATATATTCTTTAATCTAAATGGCATTACTTTAAATTCATAAAGACCAGATAGTATAATAAAAGCAATTTTTGATTGATCTTTTAAATGCATTTTTAGTACTCACTAGCTAGATCAAGAGTAGTAAAATTTTTTGCCATTATAAAATTTTCCAATTGATCTTACTTATTAGTAATTAGATAGCTGTCAGTAACGGTAATTACATTCAATGGTCAATAACCAATACAAATCCTAAGATCTCCTATTTTTTTTAGAATTATTATTACTGAGGAGATCCAGAAACTTTCGGATGTTTGAATTATTCCTTTTTCCAATATTTTGTCAATCTCTTTTTTCAAGAAATCTCTTTTCTTTCCTGATTTAGTCTATATAGCAGATGTGTGATAGGTCTAACTTCAGCTTTAAGAGGTTTTTGATAGTTTATATAAGGAGTTTGTCCAATATTAATTCCTCCAGTAGAGTTATTTTTTCAGGAATTAAGGATTTAATAGTAATTTATACTGGTGTTTTATCTGCTTCAGTATTAGCTATATAAAGATTGATGAATTCTTCTTTATTATAAGACCATTCGATGCAATTTAATTCTTATTATCAATGGTTAAATTAGAATTAATTCCTTTTTCTTCATCTTCATTATCTGCTTAAAACAAATCTGTTTCAAAGAGAACTTATACTCATATTCCTCTTCTTCGCTTTTAGTTGTATTAACTAAAATCCTAAAATATGGTTTTACCTCTTTAATGTATTTGATTGATGACTTTATTATTTGATTTTGAATCATAGCTTGAAGCTCATCATGATCAAAATATAATCTAGCATCAAAAGTTTTAAACCAATTGATTTCTAATAATAGGATATCTTGTGATGATTCAATCACTTATAAGTCAATTGTGAATTGAATTTCTTGCAAAATTAGAGGAATTGAGATAATGATTCCTATCCTATAAATAATCTGTATAAAGAAAGTATGCAGAAATAATATGTTTAAAAAACGTATAAAGTTATTTTAATTGGATTTTTACGTCTAATCAGTATATTGTATATGTTATTTTTGGTTGAATTTTTTATGTTTAATCAGTATATTGTATATGTTATTTTTGTTAGATTTTAACATATAAACATTAAATTATATACGTAATTTTAATTGCAATTTTTATACATTTAATCATTAAATAAATATA